CCCCCCCCCGCCTCTTTCTGTCCCGGCCGCTTCGCCAGCCTGCTCACCGGTGGTCATCGTGTTGCCCCAGTTCTCCGGCATCGTCATCGGCTGCTTGCCGGCCGCATCGCCGGTCATCAGCCTCTCGCTCCGGCGCGGGGCCCCGGCACCGCTGGATCTGCCGGACTTCGACGGGCCTACCCTCTCTGATGGCTCGGCCGGCGGGGTGGACCCGGATTCCCTGACCTACCCCCTGTGCCGGCGCCTGGTGGACGCCTGGCGGGATGATGTGTCCGAGGAGCAGATCGCCGGGGCCCTGCGCCTGGCTTTCCGGCTGGACGCCCAGCGGGTCGAGGGCGCCGCCGGGGTGGCGCTGGCCGCCCTGTTGGCCGATTCGCCGGCCGGGCGATCGGCCAGCCAGGTGCCGACGTTCGCCGCGGACCCGGCCACCGGCCAGGGGGCCGCTCTGGCCCCCGGCATGCGTGTGGCGGTCATCCTCTGCGGGGGCAACATCAGCGACGAGGTGTTCCGGGGCATCGTCGGCCCGAGCGAAATGTGATTTGGAATGTCATTCCGTGATCTTCTCCCAGAAATACAGCCGTGCTGGATTACCAGCTTGGCCCGTGCGCCGCCGACGGTCGGCAGTTGCTTCGGGCCTTGGGGGGAGGACGGGCGGGCGGGCGGGCGGGCGGGCCGGGGCGTAGCCACCTCGTGAACCCTTGTCGTTGATGGTGTCCGGGTCTATGTGCTGGGTGTTGCCGGCCCGCGGATTCCCCACAGACACACGCACACACGCACACACGCACATGCACACACAAGACCCTGGGGGAAAGGGACTCTGGCTGCGGAGGGGCCGGGTCGGGTTGTCGGCGGGGGCACAGCATGATGCGAGGACGGCGGGGCCGAACAATCGGGCGGGCCTTTCCTCCCGTCCCCCCACCCCGATGTGACTGACGGGGCTGTCCGGGTGGCAGGGGGGGGGGGGGGGGGGGGGGGGGGCCGGGACCCGTTTGGGGGGTGTCGCGCCTCTGCGCCCACAGGCCAGGGCCTTGGGGG